CCCTCCATACCCGCCGACCTGTCTATGTCGAGCTGAGATGATCAAACCATACCAATCGACCTGAGGAATCCAACCTCTGGCCCGATCACTGACCTGGAGGCCCGACAGCCGTAACTGCCACTCAGAACGGCTCCAACGACCTTGTCTGCCCCGCCTGCCTATAAAAAGGACACTCTGCCCACAATTCCTCCAAGTATGACTTGATATAGCTCGAGCTCAGGCATCAGAGTGTTTGTTCCTTGTGCTAGTTCACTAGAGACCACCTCGACAGCTCGTCCTCGTTGAAGGAAGAAGACTTTTGAAAAATTGGGACTTATTTTCACAATTCAAGAACAACATTTGAGATATTGAAACAATCAATATGAAAGAGAGAAGATGATGATTAGTATCTTCATAAAAGTTTGATGAATAGCAGCAAGGCAGTCCTTTTATCAAGAAGAGGTCGATTATACTATTGTGGACAAAAACCAATATTAGTGACCTCGTGAACAAACAATCAGACTAGGAGATTTTTTGGATGTACAAATTATTTGGTAAGTTGAATAGATGTCTGTTCAGCATTGATTTTAATTAAACTTTGTAATTGTGTAATTTTTTGTTTATAGAAATTTATATAGGTTGTATTGCATAATGGAAATTATTGCAATTTTTTTGAATGGTATAATGAATGCATACGTGATAAGAGAAAATTTGTGATACTCCAATAGAGGAACAAGATTTTAAAGTTGGAAGAGAATATTTGCACTTTGAAGATGAATGAAAAACAATACAGAGGGCAGCTAACTTGCTCATGGATGCTAAAAAGTTGTTTAATGTTAGTTGTTCGAGTAAAAATGAAATGTCACGTATTAAAAGGCCAGCTAAGCCACTTTTGCTGAGTTAGGAAACCAACCTTGCATGGTCGAGCACACTAAAAAAGAACTGAGCACACCGCCAATGGGGTTGAGCGCTTGTGCACGTCACATACGAATTACAACCAGCGGATAGGGTGTTGGCGCCTTGTACCCAAACCACTACGCGCCTCTAATGACCATTTAGGACGCCACCAAGTTTTTTTATTTGTGCGACTATGGGAAACAGAGAATATTGGTGGTTTCCACAGACCCCTGGCATGGCATACCTCTACCCTGTTGGACGTTGAAGGGAGTGGGGACCTCCCACTAAAACCCTCTCGATCTCTATATATAAGGAAATGAACAACCCTAATGAAGGTAGGTCGCATTTGCCTACACAGCTTCTTGTGAGGATTCAACACGAACTCTCAAGCAGATTTTCACCTTAAGACTCCTGCTTCCTTATTCTTTTAGCTTCATACCTGTTTCCCCCTACACGACTTCTAACTTAAGCATCGGAGTGCATTCGAGAGAACACCACACCAATGCAAGACTTCTGTATGTGCAAGCAACATGTTTTCGATATGAAAGTATATGTAACATCTCAGTGTTACCTACATGAACCTTATACCCATAAACACTATCCACTTTTGCATACACTATCCGCCACAAAATAACCATAAAACCTTAAACTACATTTCAAAATATTTAGGACACTTGAACTACATTTGGTCAAAGGATTAACGTGATTTACTTTTTTTATTATTTTTTTTATTTCGATGTTGCTTACGTTAGTGGATCCCTATAACCGAGGTTAGTTGCTTGGGTTGAACAACACTTTGACCAGTGTAGAGCTCGAACACAAGACCCTTTGTGGTAGGTAATTAATGTGATTGTCATTGCGCTATCCCCCAAGGGATGAGGATTAATGTGATTGTCATTGCGCTATCCCCCAAGGGATGAGGATTAATGTGATTTACAACATCACAAACATATCTAAATGCCTCTGGTGACCTCAATCCACGAACATTCCAGCATAAGGTTTTCATGGCTTCATGTAGGGCTAACTCACAGCCTCTACCGATATAACAACTTGTGGAAAATCATGAACACCATCATCCACGCGTTTAATTTTAACCTATAACCATTTATTTTTTTGTTTTTTCTGTTTTTATTTTTAAGTTTTTAAAAAACAAAATCCATACATGTTTGATAAATGTTTTTTGTTATTTGTTTTTAAAAAAAGAGAGAATTTTATATTGAGTAGATATGATAATGGTGTGCGGCGAGAGTGCCCTCTCTCATTCTCGTTTGTATTATGACTAAATTTACAATTTTTTTTAGTCCAACATGTTGGGGGATTCGAATTCACAACCTGTTGATTGAAGAGATATGTCAATTACTTGAGTTATACTCGTTTTGGCGTGACTAAATTTACAATTGAACTTTTAAGTCTCTCAAATTCAAATTTATTTACTAGTTTTAGTATTTGTTTTACTTTTCACGTTTTAAAGGCACTTTTCTTTGTTTTGCAAAATAACACTTTTTAAGATCTCGCAAAATTAATTTAGGTATTTCAAAAAATGTCAGTCTTTCCAAATTTTTAAATATTCCAAAATGTTGATGTCTATTTTCAAAATTTTCATTATTCCTATTTTACCCTTTCTATTTATTTTCAGATCTTGCAGGAATTGTTTGTAGCTTCAGTTTTCGGGGATGCTCTCCTTCAAAAAATGTCACAATCTTATGATGCATATTTCCAATTCAATCTTAAAAGTTACTTTTGCAATTCAAATTATTTAGAAGTATCTTATGAATAAATGTATTGTGGAATTTTTAGATTCAAATTAATTTACGGGAAGTACTAATTAAGATTCTCGTTTCAGAACTGTTAGTAAGAAATTATTACAAATCGGACCAAAAAATAATGAATTAACATGATTAGCGACAAGGCATTATTGTCGCTACTAAACTATTCTGCGACAATGGTCCTGTTGCTGATAATATTATCAGCGACACGGCCCCTTTGTCGCAAATAATATTATTTACGATACGGCCATTTAGTTGCAAATAATATTATTTGCGATGGACGGTTGGCGTCGCTAATAAGATTATCAACGACGGTCCATTGCTGTCGCTCATACTAATATAATAAGATTATCAATGACGGTCCATTGGTGTTGCTCGTGCTAATATTAGCGATGCCCTCTCCCTGTCGTTGATAACCTTATTAGCGATGCCGCAACACTTTTGTCGCAAAAACTATAAACGACGCGTTCTTAGAGACAATCTTAGCGACGCGCAGGCCCTTGTCACTAATAATTTTAGCGACGCAGATTGATTTTTAGCGACATGTTTCCTGTGTCTCTGAAAACCTATTTTGTTGTAGTGGATCTTTGAGTTTTTACACGCACAATCTTCCTCTTTCCGTTGGGATTTTTCTTTGTTGGTCCAGAATTTGGTGCACTCAAATCTTCCTCTTCGACTTGGGATTATTCGTTGGTTCAGAATCTTCCTCTACACGCGCTCAATTCTTCTTTATTCTTCATCGAGACTCTTCTTCGCAACGTTCGCGGCTCTGTGTTTGATGGTTTTTGCCCCAAATCTGTTATAATTTTTCAGAATTAGGTTTGCAATCAGCTTCAGAATTCTTCGTTGGAATTCTTTGATGATTTTTTTTTCGAATATGGTATAATTTTTCAGAATTAAGTTCGCAATTAGCTTCAGAATTCTTCTTTGTTTTTCGTTATAATTCTTCTTTATAATATAGGGTTCAATGTTTTAGAATTACAAAAATTTCAACCAGTTTTAATAGGTTTTGTTCATCAATTTGATTTTGTTATTGTTTTAGTTTTTCTGTTACGTTGTTTTTTGTTCGTTCTTCGTTCTATATTAATATGAAGTATATCAGTGAAGCATATCTATGAGGTATATCACACATATACAATTCTATTTGTAACTTATATACTAAATATAAGCTATATTAAGTACATCAATAGTATATCGGTATCAGATATCGTATAAATTTTTTTGTTATCTGTGTCCTACTGTGGAACGTCACTGCTCACTGATGAAATTTTAGGGATAGTTGCCGGGAGAATATTCTCATATTTCTCTCCTCTTATGTTAAAAAAATATTAGGCACCATCGAGTGAGAAGTTGGAATGAGAGAAAAAAAAAAAGAAAAGGAAAAGAGTCACACAGCCGTATAGTAATTTAAAATTCAGAAAAGATGACACTTCGTTTAAAATTTATCATATCAGCACTATTTCTATTTTCAATCCTTAGGGATTAATTTCTAAATTTAAAGAATGAATGGTGTACTCAAAGCTCAAGAACATGTCCCTTATCGTACTGATCTTCAGAAAGGTTTTTTGTCAAATAATTTTACTATATCCGTACACTGTTAAACTCTACTGCACGATAAGATCTATCACGGGTTGAGATGCAAATAGATTGGCTGTTATTTTGAATCAAATTACTATATATACCAAAAAATATATATACAATAACTTTTTTTTTTACTCCTATAATCAAACTACAGTTATGAAAAGAATATTAGAATAAATAGTAATAAAAAGGAAAAAATATTAGAATAAATAGTAATAAAAAGGAAAATTTAGTCGCTGAATCTCAGCCCTCAAATATTGTACTTAAAGAAAAGTAATAATAAAAATAAAAGGAAGAAATTGTTAATAAATAAACTTGATTTTAAAAAATATAAAACTAAACCTTGAAGAATTTGTTGAATTGACTTGCCTCCATAGTGTCATTTTTTATATATAACTAGGAGTCGGAGTTTTACTCTCCTATATCAAGGACACCCGCATCTAATCCCGGACTCGAGAGACATCAAAAGTTTTTTAGTGTTAAGCTCTCCAAAATGTTCGAACTTGAGAATCATAAACCAATATAACCAAGAGATTCCAAGTCCTTACCAACTGTCCCGATGGTCCATATTGTCATAATCCAGAAGCAAAGAAAACTAAGGAATATAGGCATAAAAAGGAGAATCTAGCACTATTGAGGAAGAGTCCAAATGGCTGAGAAATCTAAAAATTAAATGTGAATCTTTTTCTATTAATGTGTAGGGACTAGGGAATCAACAATAATACTTTCATGTGTAAATGTAAAATAATGTCTCACATTAAAAGTCACTCCCTCTTGAAGTTAAATTTTTTTTATTCCAAAAAAAAAAAGAAAAGAAATAGAATAAATCCTCCATGAGCCTATTTTTGTACATCACATCATCTCATGAAAACATCTGCTCAGCAATAAACATAATACTATCGTCATTCAAAAGGTCGAAGGCCACATCGGTTGACATCGATGCAGCTTGTGACAAGATGGATGTCACTGAATAAAAATGGATAGGGACGACCACGTTGCTTTCTACCACGAGGTCATCATGGTGCTTGCTTTAAAGCTCCTGCAACAACCCTCCTATAGAAGAGACAACTTCTACAATAATTGTACTATGTTTTGTTACTACTTCATCAGTTTACATGCCTCACATACCCATCTGTTCCCAACCATTCACTAGAATTCTAAGCACTGTCCTCCCCAGTGATTTCCAAAAACAAACTTCTTCAGCAACGATATTCAAACAAGGGGAAAGAGTAAGATACAGTAAGGCAGGTCAATACCTGCCAAGTGAAAATCGAACCATCGACATTTTAAATAGTAAAAAATGTCATATCCACCCGGGTATAATCAAATTATAAACATGTTCTTTCCTGGACCATGGAAATTGGGAAATTTCTTGAAAAGTAAATTTATAGGGTGAAGGTAAGGAGAGTTGTACCAATGGTTCCTCGTGGTGATCACATGTCTGGGGACCCGCGTGACACCTTATCTACAATGATCAATACCTGTAAGACTTTGGACCATTTTCCATACATCAACATCCCAAAGGAACTCCAAATGGTCGTCCATTTCAACTCACCACTGCCCCTTCACTTCAATTCAATTCACTTTCCATCTGACTTTTCTCAAAACAAGTATAGTAATAAAATCAATCCAATTCACAACAACTTACAGTGCTTTTAATAGGTCTCACCCAACAATCTCAACCACCCAAAATTGGCGTCGCTACCTTATTTTAAGACTAGTTTAATTACGCCCAGTTGTACTTGTACAGCATCATGGTATTCCATTCCCCCTAATGCTGTCACAGAAAGAAAAAAACCAAAAATTATTTTCAAGCTGTTTTTTTGTTTTTAGAATTGAGTTTTGGTGGTTAGTTATTGTTCACAAAAAATAAGCCACTCGTGAAAGCACATAAAAAGAACTTTTAAAAAAAATTTTAAGAAACAATTATCTAACCATATTTTTATCACACATATGTACATACACATACATATATATATATGACATCAGTATCTTTTCCCTTGACCAAATGCCGCCTTAACAATAGAACCCAAAAAGGTCGAGCTAATAAAGAAGTCTACCCACCCAAACAGTAGACAGTAAGTAAATAAGGTCTGCTCAAAACTTCTCATTAGATAAACAAGCCCCTTAAATTCTCTTCTTCCACCTCCAAGTACCTTAAGCTCTTCCACACCACTTCTTTTCTCTTGGCTTCGTTAAGAAAAACAAAGAGAAGCTCAATATTTGAAAAATGGGGTCACCATCTTCCAGCTTCCTCAACCACAACAAAACCTTAGTCCTCAAAATTTCCATGATTCTATTCTTCGTGAGCTGTGTACCTTACAGAACCACCCAATGTTTGGGGAAGACAAGAAGTCACCCTCCTATACACTCTACTTCTAACGTGCTTTCATCCTTAGAAACACTAAGCCTAGATGGATACTTCAGCTTCAAAAACAATCAACAAGCAGCTAAAGATTTTGGCAATATTTATCACATGCGTCCCTTAGCAGTTCTACATCCACATTCGATTGGTGACATTTCAATCACAGTAAAGCATATTTTTCAAATGGGTTCAGGAACCGAACTTACAGTTGCTGCAAGGGGCCACGGCCATTCCCTTCAAGGGCAGGCACAAGCCTTTCAAGGCGTGGTTATCAACATGGAGTCCCTAAAGGAACCAGCCATGCAGGTTCACAGTGGAACATTGCCGTGGGTGGACGTTTCTGGTGGAGAGCTGTGGATAAATATCTTACACGAAACGCTTAAATATGGTTTAGCGCCAAAATCTTGGACTGACTACCTTCATCTTTCCGTGGGGGGTACACTATCAAATGCTGGTATTAGTGGGCAAGCTTTTAGACATGGACCTCAAATCAATAACGTCTACCAGCTTGAAGTTGTCACAGGTACTATTCCTTAACTTTTCGTCTTAAGCTTTTTATAATTCATATATTTATTAAAATTCCTGTCAATAATAAATGTAAAATGATACATCATACATATACTTAAATTTGTTACTCAATTAATATTCTTGTAGTCAGTTCTACTAATTTTTTCAGGTTTTATTGTTTTTATTTCTTTTATCATCAAATTAGGGTATCAACTCCATTCTCACCCAGCGTATAACAATTATAAAGATACTTTTCGAGGGTATTTGATTTGCAAATTATCAAATATTAGATACTGATGATGAACCTTCCGGCAATGCTTTGATGATCACCATTTGTCCACAAATTGCACAATCATCCCTAAATCATAATGTTTGTTTCACTTTCACCCAGGAAATAAAAACTTGTAGAAATTAACCCTGAGACTTGCAAGTGTAAAAATTGGACCTTTCCATTACGTTCCGTTAAAATTTTGTTCTGATGAGAGAGAATAAGACTCTTTCTCTAAGAGAATGTATCTCACTCTGCCACTCCTCTCTCTAAAAACTCTCTTAAGTCTATCTTT